ATGAAATAAATAACAGAGATATCTCAAAACATAAAGAAATTAATATATTTCTTTTTTGTGGGGGGAGTACCAGGAATTGAACTCAGGGGCACTTGACCACTGAGCCACATCCCCAGCCCTATTTTGTATTAGAGACAGGGTCTCACTGAGTGGCTTAGTGCCTTGCCATTGCTGAGGCTGGCTTTGAACTTGGGATTTTCTTGCCTTCGAAAACTGGGATTACAGGCATGGGCCACTGTGCCTGGTGGAAATTAATATATTTTGAAAGAACCCTTTCAATCAAAGGGAAATTAGAAAATATTTGCATCAAATTATAAAGAAATTATAACATTAAATTTTGTGGGATGTAGCTAACACAGTGCTCAAGATAGAAATTTATAACTTTAAAGGTATATTTGGGAAAACAATGATTTTAAGTTCATTATCCAACCTTCCACTTGAAAAAGCTAGAAAAAGAAAATTATTCTCAAATAAAACAGAGGAAGAAAATAAAGATAGGTGTGAAAAATCACAGTAAAGAGATAAAAAGCACAACAGAAAAGAAGTTCTCGAACTTTTTGATTTCAGGATTATCTTATACTCTCAAAAATGAGGATCCTAGAGTCTGGTTTATGTGTTTATATCTCCCAGTATTTACTGCATTAGAAATTAAAACATTAAAATATATTTTATTACTTACTTAAAATAAAAATAATAAGTCAACTCAGACAAACAACATAACTTGTTATGAAAAAAGCTGTATTTTTCCAAAAGAAAACTTTGTTGTGCAGAATAGTATTGTTTTACAGTTTCTCAAATTTCTCTAATGTCAGGCTTAATAGAGGACAGCTGGAATATCATTCTCTTCTGCATTTAATTATTATTTTGGTTGAAGTATGTGAAGAAAACCTAGCTTCACATAGATATACAGCTAGGAAGGTTAGTATTTTAAAAGCTTTTAACAGTAATTGTAGATGTCCTTTTTTTTTTTTTTATTTACCAGGGATTGAACCCAGAGGTGTTTAACCACTGAGCCACAACCCCAGCCCTCTTTTATATTTTTATTTAGAGACTGGGTCTCACTGAGTTGCATAGGGCCTTGCTAAGTTACTGAGGCTGGGATTACAGGTGTGCACCACTGTGTCCTTTTATTACTTACACTGTACCAAATCTTTTTGTCATTTTTTTAGAGAGAGAGAGAGAGAGAGAGAGAGAGAGAGAGAGAGAGAGAATTTTTAAAATATTTACTTTTTAGTTTTCGGTGAACACAACATCTTTGTTTGTATGTGATGCTGAGGATCGAACCCGGGCCACATGCACGCCAGGCGAGCGCTACGGCTTGAGCCACATCCCCAGCCCTGTACCAAATCTTTTTGTATTTATTATTAGTTGTAGTTGGACACAATACCTTTATTTTATTTATTTATTTTTTATGAGGTGCTGAGGATGGAACCCAGCGCCTCACACATGCTAGGCAAGGGCTCTACAGCTGAGCCACAACCACAGCACCACTTTTTGTACTTATTACGTTGAAACTCATCAGTCCATCTTCCATTCTGAATGGATCTTTTACCCACTTTGTAAAACCACTGGAAAATATTGGTTCACATAGTTATGCAGATTTTTCTGTATTTTGACATTTCATTATACAATATAAAAAGGAATCACACTCGTTAATATGACCACCACTGTTTATGGAGTGGTGATTTGAATCATGGCCTCTAATTGCCTTGTGGTTGTGTTGGGCTGGGAACATCCTGTGCAAAGGTGCAGGTCAAGATGGCCCAGTTGGTATGGTGAGGCTGACCTGAGGAGGCTCCTTGCAAAAGCACAGAGCTGTCAAGTTCAGACCTTGAGCTCAGGCACGAGCTTCCGGGATAGAGAATTCTGAGCATAACAAGATAACCCCGATGTCTCACCAATCCTGCGTCCTTCAGACTGCCTGCTTTGTAGAAACTTTCCCACAGATAACCTTTTGATGAAACTGATATAATAAACGTGCTGAGCCACCTCTGGGTCACTGCTCCTCCATCAGAGGTTAGTGCCCACCTGACCTCAGCTTTTTCTATGTCTCTTTTCTTCATCCCCCACAGCCCCTCATCTGGTTTCCGAATAACAGTTGTGCAGGTTGCTGCAACTGGTGTCCGAACAGGAACATGAGGTCCAGGCAACTACTTTCAGAAGCCTTTAATTGTTGGAAAGTTGTTGAGTTCATGGTAGCAAATACAAACTTTCCAAAATTCAAATTTTCTCTTGAAAAATTGAATTGTAATAATTGACAACAAATATTGTAAATTATTTCTCTTAAAGTTTCAGATTCTAACCTTGTTTATTTTTGAGAAAATGTCTGCCAAATACTCAAGTGTAAATGTCTAGTTTGATTATTAGCCATTCCTTTTAAGTAAAAATGATGTTCTGGATAAAATGATATCCTCTGATAGTTGACCTTGAGACTGAATCACAACGTGTTTTCTTAAGTCAACATCATACTATAGCAGAGTGTTTATGCCTATTTACTAGCTCCTCACATGAAATACTGAATAGAAGTAGATTAAAGGAACATTAATAAAATTCACAATTTTCCAAGGATCATTTTATGAGAAATATCTATGTGTATATATTTCAGTGCAACAAAATAGGTGATATAGGGGAGAGTCTAGCTCATATCTTTGGTTTTTTTTTTTTTTTTGGTACCAGGGATTGAACTCAGGGGCACTCAATCACTGAGCCACATCCCCAGATCTATTTTGTATTTAATTTAGAGACAGGGTCTGAGTTGCTTAGTGCATCACTTTTGCAGAGGCTGGCTTGGAACTCTTGATCCTCCTGCCTCAGCCTCCTGAGCCACTGGATTTACAGGCGTTTGCCACCTCACCCAGCTAGTCTATATTTATATGTAATTTACTTGTGTTTTCAAGACCTGTCATGTTCCAATTCCATATATATCACTTCCATTGAATGACTGATGGCTGTTTTGTCCAATTGAATTTATGATTTCGAAAGTCTGACTAAATATTGACTTTATGATAAGAAGTATCCATCTCTTAGTCACTTAATGTCCTATAATTTGGCACATGGCTTCTTTGATGGTTCAGTAGAGTGCCAGGAGTTGTTTTTCAGAGTGTACAGTTCCTTTACTGCAGAGAGTATGGTCTTGCTCTAGAACTGCAGAGATCTATTACCATAGGCCTGAGTTGGGACATATCAGAAACTCCTTACAGCAATTTGATTCACCACAACAAACTCTAGCACCGTGGGACTTGCCAGGGCATTATAGCCCAATTGACAAGGCTGCTTCTACCACAACCTGACCCCCACTCCCCAACCTCTTCTCTCTCTTTTGTTACTGGGGATTGAACCCAGGGGCACTTTACCACGGAGGTACATGCCCAGCCCTTTTCTGTTTTATTGAGACAGGGTCTTGCTAAATTGCTTAGGACCTCATTGTTGATGGCTTTGAACTTGTGATCTTCTTGCCTCAGCCTCCAAAGTCACTGGGATTACAGGTGTGTGTAACTACAATCGGTACCCGACTCCATCTTTTGATAGGAGGAGCTATAAAGCATCATGGCCAAATTTTGCATTCTACCATGGAATTCTTGATGTATTAAATGGCCCCTCTTGTTATCCTATGTGAATAAACTATAAATTCCTGTGTTATTTGGAATAACAGAACATATTGAATTAATGATTCTGAATCAGAGAATTGCTAAGCAACTCTATTGGTCAAATCTGCCTTAATGGGAGATCTTCGCCACAAGGAAGGATTGCAAAAACAAAACCCAACATTCTGCCTTGCTTCTAGTGGCTGATAATTTTTATATAGCATAGTCAGGAGGAAAAACTGACTCAAGAAATAAAAAAAAAAAGTTAACAGGGGTACCCTATCTAGTCCTGATTCTAAAACAATAGAAAGGTCAATATCTTTATAAACTTCTGTACCAAAATGATTTTTGTCTTTCTTACTGTGCTGATGTCTAGATATATGTCCCATGAATATGCTAATCATGTGTGAAAGTTTTTTTTTTTTTTTCTTCTCAGCATGAACAGACTCAAGTGAGCTTGTGGTCCCTTGTATTTTCAAAGCCAGCAGTGAAACATCCTCAAATCTCTTTCTTCTCTGCTTCTGGCATCGCACCTTTCTTTCTCTGACTTGGATTCTCTGGCTTCCCTCACCTAAGAAAGCCTCTGATTACGGTGGGCCCACTTGGATAATCCAGATAGTCCTTCCATCTCAAAGAGTTTTAATCGAACCACATTCTGCTGTCCATGTGGGGTGACATTCACAGATCCCAGGGATAGAATGCATACCTCCTTGGGAGGCAAGGGTGACTAGTACAGGGTGATTCGAGAGGTCGGCGATTGCGGAAAAAGACTATAAACATTTGTACAGCTTAATGGGTTTGTGCGTGTGAGCAGAAATCCTTATTTCTCCGGGTAGGGAGACCCGGGAGTATAAGGACTGGATCGTATATAATTGCATATTTTGTTTTACGAGGAACCGTTCCCTGTGTTTCCCAGACTGGCTGGGAATATTTCACATTTGTACCACCACGTACGAGGGACCCAACCTCTCTGCATCCCTGTCAGTGTCTGGGGTTGTTACCGTTCCTCAGTTTTGCCAGTCGGAAAGGCGGGCAGTGCCATCTTGTCTGTGGTTTTAGTTTGCCATCTGCTAACGATCCTGAGCCGTTTTCCCTTGTGGATATCCACGACGGAGAAGGTGGCGGGGGCTGGCTAGCCGGGCGGCTGCGGGTGGGAAGCGCAGCCTTTCTGTGGAGGGGTTCACCGAGTCGGGGCGGGCGATCTCGGACCCCAGCCTGTGGCTCTGCTGGGGCGGCCGTGGCGATCTCTGCGGGAACCCAGGGTAAGGACGGGGCCGGGGATTGGGGGGTGGGAGGGGAGCTCCCGAGCCGCGCTCCCGGGGACCTGGGCTCAGGCCAGCAGCGCGGGAGTCCGCAGCGCGAGGCGGGACGCGGGTGCGCGGCGTCGCCCCTGCGGCCGGCGTTGCCCCGGTGGACGGGGCGGGGCGTCGGGAGCGCGGCCTTAGTCGGCGGTCTCCCTCGAGGACGACCACTCTAGCAGCGCCGGCCCCTCGGTCCTGGCGGGAAGGAGGGCAGGGGAAACCCAGGAAGCCACACTCCCTCGGCGGGGTCCTCGCCCGTCGTCGCCGCCACCGCCTCGCCTCGCGGGCGCGGGGCCGTTTCCCGCCACCGGCTGTCGGTGCGGCCGCGAGGGGGCGCGTCAGGGCTGGCGCACCATGGCGCTCAGGGGCGGCTTCCTGGGCCTGTTGGCCTGGCTCCTGCTCCTGCAGCCACGGCTTGGCGAGGCCCGCTCGGCCTCCGCGCCCTCCTACCCCTCCGACCCTTCCGACCCCTCCGACCCCTCGGAGTCCCCTCTGCCCACCGACAAGATGCTGCTGACCCCGCCCGTGGCCACGGGGCCCACAGTTATGGTGGTTAGTTCAGGTGACGGTGATTCCTCCAGGACGACTGAATTCCCATCAGGTGACTTCTCGGCCACACCCTGACGCAGAGACTGCCTGGCCCGAGTGATCAGGACCCCTGCGGTCCAGGAGGAGGATGCAGGAACTGCGGTCCCCCCGGGTGCTGGGTGCGGGCTCTGAGCTACCCAGCCTGCCCTTGAGATCTGAGGGGACACAGCCATTCCCCAAGGAGTCTCAGGGATGTGGACCTGCCCTGGGGTCTGAGGGACGTGGCTTGCTCCTCCGGGTTTGAGGTTCTGGCTCAGGTTTTACTCTCAGCCCTCCCTTCACTGATCTGCTCCAGCATGTGGCCACAGGTCTATGAGGATAGTTGGTGGAAGGCCAGCCGTGCGGACAAGGTGGCCCTGGCAGGTGAGCCTGCAGATCAATAATCAACACATATGCGGAGGCTCCCTCATCTCCAATCAGTTCGTGCTTACTGCAGCCCACTGCATATTTGGGTGAGTGAGTGGGGCCCAGAGGCTTGGGCTCCTGATCGGGCTGTGTGACCTGGAGCTAGTCTTGTCCTCCACCAAGAATTTCCTCTTCCTCATCTGAAAAGGGGGATGGGGTGAGAGCCTTCATAGTTTTTTATTTATTCTGGATGAGACCTGAGGATTTGCAATTCTGACACGTGGACAGGTGATACTAGTCTGGTGACCACACTTGGAGTACTGCTGGCTAGAGTGGTCAAGGGTTGGGGAGGGAATGTGGTTTGGAGGGAGGGAGTGGCAGATGGCTGGCCTGTAAGGATGGGGTCAGGCTGGGAAGTACCTGGACTGTGTGGAAGGGAAGTGTGTGTGTAGACCCTTCAGGATCTCTCCGTAGCCATCTGGAATACACAGTGAAGCTGGGGGACAAAGACCTGAAACATCAAGCCCCAACGTCAGTCGAGATCCCAGTCAAAGACATTGTCATCCACCAGTATTACTCTCCTCTTGGAATCATCGAACATGACATTGCACTTGCTATGCTGGCCTTCCCTGTGAATTACTCCACACACATTCAGCCTGTATGCATCCCTGGAAAGTCTTTCTTGGTAGAATCTGATACCTTGTGCTGGGTCACCGGATGGGGCAAGCTAAGCGAGCTAGGTGAGATTGTAAAGCAGGACTACAACAACCTTAGGCCCAGGAGGAGGATACCTGGCAGCTTGGTGTTGGTGTGCAAGCTAAAGGGAGGGACAGGGAGGTAGATTTTGTACTAGGTGGGTAAGGGAGGAGGGGGGACAAGATGCTGCCAGGGAGTAATTTAACAACTGTGAATTTCTGTTGGTTTGTCAAGAGTTGGGGGCCTGGGTGTCAAGCATGGTGGGTTCTTTCAAGGGTAGATTTTAAGTAAGGGACTGATGAGCTGTCTGAATTTTAGTTGTTCCTCCACAAAAGTATCTGCTTTGATAGCTAAGGAGCTTCCTGTTTGTGAGAAGAGGCCAGAAACTCTCAGTGGGCTTGTAGGACCTCCTATTCCTTGACATTTGGGATTTTGGTACCTTTGGGGCACCATGTGTCTGAGAGTCTGTGATATTGTTCTAGAAAGTAAAGTTGCTTTATAGATACACAGGACACCCTGGTGATACTTAGAGTGACAGAGTTTGGTTGTTATTTCTCAGACTGACAAGACTTTGGCTTCCCTCTCCTGGGCTGTTTTTACTTTTGTTTTGGTTTGGATCTTAACATCATCCTACACTCATGTCAGTGTTAGACCTCATTTCCTCCAGGGTCAGCTGGGGACAATAGCCAGTTCCTAAGAGGATGCCTGTGTGTGAACACACTGAATTGAGACTCAGAGTTAGTACCACTGTGTCTGTCTAGTCTCATTCATGCAGATCCACTCCTAAATTATCTTTCTATAGATACAGAAAGGGCATCAGAAGAGCTTCAGGAGGCTGAGCTAAACATTATTCGTCACCAGAAATGTAATGAGTTGCTTCAGAAAAGGACAAAAACTAAAGTTCAATTTACCAAGGAAGGGACGGTCTGTGGCTATAATGATGAAGGAAAGGACTCCTGCCAGGTGAGTTTCATGGGCCCCTTGCTGCTCTGCATTACAGTTTTCTTCCCCTCAGGCAAAAGAGCCTGGGTGGTCCCCTAGTTCCTCCATTAACCCTTATTCAAGTTAATGGTGTGTGAGGACAAGCCACCAGGACTCTCCTGAGTTAGCCTGACATAATCCTTCAGGAGAGAGTAGTGGATTCTGCCTGGCCGGAAGGTGGGTGGGTAGTGGTGGTGAATCAAGCAGGTTATACTATGAAGTTCCATGTTTTGAGCCACTTTTATGTGACATGCAATGCACTTGGGTGAGCAGTTTATTCATTTCTGTCCCAGAGTAGGTGCATTATCTTTGTTTATATAGTTTTTTTGGAGCACAAATTTTTCAGTAGATAGACAATTTTTATTTGTTAAAATATTCAGTTCCCAAATCTCATGCTTACAGAAACTAGGAGCTGGCAGGTGCCTGGGGACACCACAGGTGTGCCCCGTTTGCCAGTAATTTGAAGTACCATCAGCCTGCTCTGATGTAGATCGAATCCATTTCTGCCATTTGTTTCTTTTCTCTTTCTCCAGGGAGACTCTGGGGGCCCCCTAGTCTGTGAATATAATACAACATGGATCCAGGTGGGAATTGTGAGCTGGGGCATTGGCTGTGGTCGCCTTGGCTATCCTGGTATATATACAGAAGTTAGTTTCTACAGGGACTGGATAGTTACTCTAATGAACCGGGCTTCCTGTCTGGACTCAGCAAACTTCCTCATGTTAAGCCTGTGTGTAGTCATCCCGGTGACCCCGTGATTACCCTGGCCCACTCCCCTCCTGTTTCTGAGTCTCCCACTAGGCCTCTCCTCTGACCTCTCTTTCCTTCTCAATGCCCTTTCTTCAAATTCTGGTTGGGATTCATCGCCCCTGAGGAGATCCACATGGAGCACAGCAGGGAGACTGGGGCCTATGAAGTGTCCCAGCTGGTGCTCTGCTCATCTGCCTCAGCCATCCTGTGCCTGCTGGGAATATGGGTGAACTGATTCTAGCTAGAGGGCCAGCAGACCTGCCATTGGGAGCGTGGTGACTTAGGGACACCTTGCAGAACATCTGCCAAAGGAGAGAATTCATTATGGTGAAGGAAGGCCGAACCTGGCCCTAGTTTCAGGGTCTCCCTGGGACTTTGTCATACCAACCTGCAAGGTGATTGCAGAGGCAGTGAAGGAGGCCCTAGCAGGTCCCTGCAGAGGTGTGAGGCCTGGGACTTTAGCATCTGGCTTGGTGCCTGGAGTTGGCACAGGTTTCCCTGTACCCAGTGTGGCTCTGTGAGTGGGTAGCCTGTGGCACACAGGCCCCACGGGGCACCCCAGACTGGCACCTCTTCCTCAGGGCCCTAGTGGCTGCATTGGGGGACACTCCAAGTTGTGTTGAGGCAGTTTTGAGTGTGGAGATTTCAGATGTGAACTGAATAAATGTTTGTTGGAGAGTTTCCTGTGTGTTCTGAAGCTCTGCTTACTTGGGATGTTTGCTTCCATATAACTTCCTCTGTAGAGAACTGGGTCCCTATTTAACTAAGGATGATATTCTCAGTCTCCATTAAATCCTGAAAGAGCCAAAATGAGGATTTTGTCTGCCCCCTTTGAAATGATGAGTGGTTACAGCCAGTGGCCCGTGGTCTCTGTTCCTGATTCTGACATCATCATCATCTATTATGGTTTGTATCTGAATTATCCCCCAAAGACTTGAAGACTCAGATGAGGAGGGCTTGTCCCCATGCAACAATATTTAGAGGGGGAGCTTTTGGGAAATGATTGGATCATCAGAGATCTGACAACATCAATGTATTGATAACTTGAAGGCATTATCGGGAACTGGAGGAGTTGGGAGCTTGTTGGGGGAAG